CTGCATCAGCCGTTTATGAGCTGCTGCCAAGAGGCTGCGGCTTGTCTATGCTCTCTGCTGTCCGCGTTAACGGCCTCCTCCGAGACAGTGACCTTTGATTGCTTTGGACAAACTGTGGGCTTTTGTCCCTCTCTCTGCATGGGGAACCGCTGTGTCTCATACCTGCAGCAGGCTGAGCTGCCATCCAGTGATCACGCCAGGGAAATCTGGGCATCCCGCTGGTGCCACGTCCTTGGCAGAAGCGCTGGCTGTGCAGAGCAGTGCCTGTGTGGGTGACTTCGGAGCAAACACCTCCTCCCCCTATACCTGTCACAGGCTATGACTTAGCTGTGCTCTGCTTGCTTTTATCTTTGTGCCACATCCACAGGCTGAAACCGCTGGTCAGCCGGGCTGGTTTCTGCCAGGAGACAGAAGGGAGGCTGCTCAGGAGCAATGCACTGACATCAAACGCGGATTTGCTCTGCCCTGAGCAAAGCCCCTCTTTATGCCTCTGTGGCCGAGATGCGCTTCAGTGTGGGCTGACAAGAAAACGTGCTCTGGTACTCCCTGCCCCACAGCCCCGCTCATGCTGAGCAAGACCCCGTCGGGGTGGGATGGCCCCAGGAGAGGGGCCATGCAGAACGGCCATGGGCTGCCCTTTGCTCTGCGCCACGGCAGGGCAGAGCTGCAGGCAAAACCTTGCTGAGTGTGTGCAGGCACTGCACGGAGCTCGGCTCGTTTTGCCTTCACACCACACACGTGCTGGTCAGACTTGAGTATTTACTATTGCCCTGACCGAGCTGCGTAGCTCATCACTTATGTCAGAAGTTGTGCAAAGCTGTAAGATCTTTAAAGTCTGTGTGATAAGGTATGCTGGAGGCTTGATTTTGTCCCATTGCTCATTAGAAGGAAAGTTTAAGCATCCACGCAGTCTGTCGCAGAGCCGCAGGATCCTCACCCTGAAGGCAAGCAGCAGGAGCTCGTCTTCGCCCAGCCAGGCGGGGGGAGGCAGCCGGCCGACGTCGCTGACCTGGGGAGCGGAGGCGAATGGTGTCAGCAGAGCCAGAGCAGCGCGGGACGGGGCTTCAGGGCTCTAGTCTCTCCCCAGCAGACGAACCTGGCCCCGTGGCAGAAGCCCGTGGAGGAAGGGAGCTGCCATGCACCCTGCCCACATGGGTCGTGGCTCTCCTCCCTGCGGCAGAGCCAGGGTGACCCTCGGGGCCATGGCTGGGGACACTGGGAACCTGCCCGGGAACACTTCCCACGGTCTGCAGCCCCTTGCAGAGAGCCAGGGCTGCCAGAGCTGGTGAGCCCCCCAGCTGTGTGGGGACCGAGCACAGGTACACCTCCACTGTTTGCTGTTTTGGGGGGCAGAACCATGGGGCAACACAGGAAGCACCCACCGCAGGATGAGCGCACTTCCCCACGGATAGGAGCTTCCTTGGCCGCCCTGCTCCCGCTGTGGGGAGTGGCTTTGCGTGGAGCTGCCTGTGCACTTGAGAAATACCTGCACTTTGGTTCCCACGTTGAATTTTGCTTGTTGCCCCATGGCGAGGAAGGAAACGGTGATCTTGTCCTGGCCCAGGATCCTGACCCCCACGTGCTGGTTCAGGGAGATGAAGATGGGGCTCAGTGGGACATGGGGTCCTGATGACGTGATGCTGTTTGGCCACGTCCACCTTCTCAGCCTGCTGCCCTCTCGGTCCAAATACTGCCCTCCCTGAATACTCATGTTTATCCTAAAAGAGAGGAACATCAAAGCTCTGCACCCTGCGGATCCCATGGCCGATGTCCCTCGTTCCCCAGAGGGACGGGACTGAGGCACAGCTAGTTTGGGATCTAACCCCCCATCTCGAGACACAGCTGGGGTAGCCTTGCTCTTCTGGGAGGCACCCGAAGCAGGGCCCACGAGCTGCTATATTTGTCTTTTAATTTTTGAATGCTATTAAAAATACCCTTTATAACCTTTGAAATTTAACATGCGCAGTGGAGAGCAAAACTGCTCTGACCAATGTGAACGTACCACACAGCTCCGTTTGGATAATAGCAAGTACTTCTGCCATTGGACTTAAATACTGCTTGTATTTCAGCGTTACTCGGCTTGTCTTCCTGTACTATGCAAATAAGCTGGTTTTTCTCTCGTACAACAATGATTGCCAGATTTCCAGATGGATAGCTGTCGTCAGATAAGGTGTTCATAACACCTTTGTTTGTCTGGTTGGCCTATTATTACATACTAAATATTTCAGAGCGTTACTTTGGAGTATAAAAATTGACGTGTTACCTAGATGGCTGTGTTAAAGGCGGCATGGTGGTATGCTCCCAGTGTTACCTGGGACACTGCCAGGGCTTTTCTCCTACATGGAAGTATTCTGTATACACTGTGTTAGAGATACAGAATATATTTTTGTTGTTTTCTAACCAATAACCCAGGCAGAACCGCTTAGCAAATTTATTTTAAAGACACATTCTTGGACAACGCTTACGACTGTAGAATCCTAGCAAAGTGAAGTGATCAAATTACTCGACTTGGATGACAGCAGAGAAAACAGGGGAAGTTATTCTCCCAGAGAAAAAAAAACAACCAGTGGGGGGGGAAAAAGGCCTTTGCCCCTGAAACCTAACCTGAACGTATCCAAAAGCAAGTATTTTGTGTCTCACTGGGGTTTCCCTCCAGCAAAACTTGCTACTGTGAGTGCACGCGTTTATGGCACTTTGCCATTTGCCATCGCCGCGACCGGCAGCATCCCTGGGACGAAGGCAGCCGGGAGGGCAGGGCAGAGAAGTAGTCTCAAGCCCCTGTCTGCTTTGGTGGCAGAGCTCAGGTACACTTTCATACACCCCTGGCTCAGAAAGAAGTCAGCCACAGTAAGGAAAAACAGCATGGGCGACTTAAAATGTTATGGCTTAAATAATAGCAAAGGCAGCCTGAAAGCTATGGGTGTTCCTTTGGCGAAACTGCCACGTTTTTATTTCTTCAAACAGTACTCTCACTTACACTGGTCATTTCAGTTTGTTTGTGAACCTCTTACGTACTCCTGCCGCAGGACAGACACGTCAGCGCTGTGCTGGTGCTGGTGGGAAATGTTGTGCTTGTCTGTCCCTGGGGGAAGGACGGGGCTGAGCGCTTTCGGAGCCCACGCTGCAGGGACCCCTCAGCCAGCAGCACCCTTCCACGGGTGGCCAGAGCTCGGGAGTAGGTCTGAACGCTGGGCCAGCACACTTCTTAAGCTGGGTATTAAAGATGTAAGTGCCTGTCCTTCATTGAAGGTACTGGCTGATCTGAAAACCTTCAGACCAAGAGCTGTGTAAGCGGTTTCACTACTGCTCTTTTTCAGACTGTGGAAGCAAGTGTGAGTGGTGGACCGGGTTATTCTGTGATAAAGCAGACTAGGACACTTAAAATTACAGTTGCAACCCTGGATTAATGCAGGCAAATGAGCCCCGTAAAGGATACAATAACTGTGCTGTTCCGTCTGGAAGCATGGTAAGAAATTTCCCTCCATGTTTGTAGTACTTTTCCAACAATTCATTCTTCACTACCTAAGATTGGAAAAGAAACGATAAAACGGATGAGAGCAGTCCTGCACCAACTGCCCTTTAAAGGCTCCAGCCGCTCTGGAATGTGGATGCGGCCAAGGTGCAGCCCATCGTCATCAGGCAGCAACTACTTGCCTTTCCACCCACGGGGGTAAAATCGCAGCAGGTGATGCTGTAGGAGATGGGCTCCTCCTCGGGCTTTGCTGCCCTCTCACCAGGCACCAGCGTCCGGCCCTTTGGCGACGGGGGCTCCCGAGAAAGCAGGTAGGAAATTGTGCCAGCTTGATTTGAACCTAGAGAGCAAAGGGAAGGTTTGTGTGCATCGGGTAGGGCTGGCAGCGCCGATGTCGGGGCTGCCCGAAACCTCTGCAGGGAGGCTGTAACTTGGGGGAGTGGGAATTTCTGGCTGAAATGCTCCATTTTGGGAGTCTGTCTTGGGGTATTTTCTATCTAACAAGGACAGTCCAAAGCGTTCAGCTATTTCAGAGAACAGGATTATGAAAAAAGATGTAGTTTTTTCAATTATGTACATATATGCATCTGTGTGAGTAAAGAATGGCTTTTTTTGGGTAGCATTCATGGCTCCATGCTCTGGAGGACTGACGATCTGAAATCCTTGGTGCTGGAAAAGTCTCAGTGCACTGGCATCCTCTCTGAAAATATGCCCATATTGTAAATCTAGTTCATCTGTTCTTAGTGAAAATGCCTTTGATTTTATAGCTCAGTCCAAAGGGCTGCTCAGTCATCCACAGCCTGGGCTAGGAATTAGTGGAGTATTCACCTGATTAGGCAAAACATTGATCACCCTAATTTTGGCAGTGCCTACCTTCCAAGGGCTTGGCTTTGCCAACTTATTATTCTCTAACGTCAATATCTGTGCGTCTCAGCTGAAACATTGAGATACAAATACTGAAAGTCACAGCAAGGACATCTCTCTGTGCAATGGGAATGTAAGTGCTTTTGTTTTTTCATGTGAGGGGTTATTTAATATGGCAGTATCTAATTTAATGGGATTGCACACTTGACAATGAACTAACATGTTGCTGTATAAATCCTCCTGTTCAAGCAGAGAACATTAGAGACAAGCAATTCCATTGAATTAATTGTTGTAATAAATAGACAAATAAATACATAAGGAAATGCAAACTCACATTCAGCTACACTCGTTGGCTGTGCTGCCAGGAAAGCTAACTGTCTGGCCATTTGTCTCTCCTGCTGCCTGGAAAATGAAAGTGTTCCTGATACACATTTCATATATTCTCTTTTGAAAGCTAGAAGTACTGGATAACCTTGCTGTAGGAACAGAAGTTTCTGAACCCGTTTTTTTCTCCACTCACATAATTGCAAATAACAGTTAGAGGCAACGGAATATCACCAAAATAATATAATAAAATAATAATAAAAATCACCAAATCAAGATTTTATGTAAAAGAGAAGGTGAGCTGCCCACAAGATCAAGAAAACAGCTAATCTCCAAGAATATCTTCACTATTCTTACCTAGCTTCCTATAAATTTGACTATCTGACAATGGCTTTGGTTTATGCTCTGTACATAATATGAGGTACTTGCACCATCAGACTGCAAAGGATTGTCAGGGAAACTAACAGTTTACTTCCAGGTATGCCGATTTACTTTTCTTTAAGCCTATGCCATAGGCTTACGTATTTGTATAAGCTTTGGGCCTCCTGCCAAACAGCCCAGCAGGAGTCAAACTTGGAGAGTTCTCATGACTCTGGAAACTGGAATCCAAATGCACGTCACAGTTTATGCAGCAAGATAGAGAAATACAAATTCAAGCACCTGAGGTAAAAGCTAGACCCAAATACTATCCCTCCCACAGCTGCAATTATATTTCTGGCTCTACCTGTCTCTAGATATTACGTCTGTCAGCAGTAGAATTAATGCTTTACTTAGCACATACCTCGCCACCTTCTAATACAGCCTGATAAGAGAAAAGCCAAGAGGGTCTAGACAGAATATGAACTTGTGTTGCCTAAAGCAAATTTTTTTCTTCTTTCATTCCCTCTTGCTGCAGTTTCATTTTCTTAACGCTTCTTTTCCCTCCGGAGTTGCCTGTTGTTCCTTATACAGACCTGATCCCCAGTTCCCCCTGTAGTCATTTCACGGTACCTCTGGTACGCTCTCTCCTTTGACAGCAGCCTGTCAGCTTCGGTGCCATGGGATTTGTGGGGGCTGACAGCAATGGGAATGCTCCAGGCGCCTTCATGGTTCTTCCTCTCATTTACGATGAACTCGTAGAGGTCTCGATTACGCTCGCAGCAGAATTTCTGTGCGGTGCCACGAGAGCGGGCCTTTCCACAGCAAACCTCTGCTAATCTTTCGCGCCAGCTTACTGATTCATAATCCTGTGACGGTGGGCAAACATCTTCAAAGGAAGGGAACGGCTTCAGCAGGCTGCCACAGTACTCGCACCTTGGAGCACAGTCCTCCTCTGCCTGAAGTGGAGGTGGGGAGAGAGAACAGGAGGAGGACACAAATCAGCACGCAAATCCTCATTTTATCTTGGGGGAAAGGGCTCTGCTCAAACTGCAATGTTATAAAGTGTGCAAGGGCTGTTAAAACAGATCTCTTTCTGTGCTATCTTGGAGGGATTTAACTCAAAACGTTAGGTTAAGGAAACCACCAAAAAGAAAAGCTGATCTGCAGTAAATAAAGAAATAAAAAAACCTCAAAGAAATTGAATGACTGTAATATTTATGAGACCCATTCCTTCCAAGGGAAAGCTTCAGAGCATGCAGGATGCTAAAGCTGAGTACTCTGATGCATTAACCCTTTCAAATACATTGCTAGGGGCTTTGGAGAGAAAAAGCTCCCCAACCGTTGCATTGTTGATCATAGGAAAATCTGTGGGGAATTTCATGAGGAACCATCAGCAGATTTGTTGACAAAAGAGCTGAGCATATTTGACCAGATGCAAATCAGGGCTGCTGCAGGATATGTTTTGAGGATGGGTACTAGATACTCTGAAAGAAATATCTATGTTTTTGCAAACACATTTTGAAACTGAGTTATAGAAAATGCAGCTGCCAAGAGGACGCTGCTGAATTTCGTGTCTAATGCGTCCACTCCCAAGGGCAGCACACCTAGCTCAGCGCTCCCCGGAGAGACAGCAGCCATCCAGCCGCAGCAGCAAGGGGTGAAGTGTACTTGCTCCGGGCCGCTTAGCTGGTGTGCTTCACTTACACTTCATTTACTATACTACGTGTTTAGCACTTTCATTCAAATCCTTTTTTGAACATACTAATTTGAAATACTTGGCTTCTCTGGAGCATAGTTCCTGGAAATTCCCTTGCTCCCATCTCATGCCTAGGATTAACTCTTTTTGATGACTTTACTCTGCTAAGGGTTACGGGGAACTCTATGCCTTGCTTGTATTCTTTGACTGTAGACCTAGTATTTTTATAAATTTCATATCTCTGTTTTAACCAAAGGGCAAAATCTTCTGCTAGGAAATTCTCAACATAGGATGCAGCGGTGGGGAGGGGAGTTGCACAGCCTCTTGCTGTTTAGGTGTGCACAGCAAGCATCGTTTCAACAGCCTCACAAAAGAAAAATCCTTTCATAAAGGAACTCCGGCACTGGCTTGGCAAAGGGCATTATTTTTAATTTTTCTGCATGGGAATCGTAGGAATTAAAATAAACAAAACAAGCCACATAGTAGGGAACACCCACCACTGACTCACCTCAATCTGTATGTTTTCTCGTGACAATTCAGGTCTGTAGGCCAGAAGGGTAGGCAGGCCAACGGAGGGCAGCGTGCGCAGAGATTTCTTGAACAGCTTCACAAAATCTTCTTTGAACTCAAAGTGGAAAATACCAAAAGCAATGTGGAGTCATATCTTTGTTCAGGGGTAAAACCATTAAGCATAAAATGTATATATGCAACCTGGGTGAGTCCTTACCTCCATGTCACACAAAACATCTAAGGTGCTGAACTCTTCTGACAGGGCTGCAAGTAATAGCAATAATGAGAATTACTGAACAGTGTTCTCAGAAACCTTATCTTCTAGACACATTTGTTTTGTTCCTTTTTCAGCATGTCAGCCTTTTCTCACCAACGACATCGGCTGCCTGACACCTTCTTGCCAGACTTGGTCCTATGTTTTCAGAAGGGCGGCTCTGGATCCGCATGTAACCCTTCCGAAAGGAGGGAAGGGGACTTGAACCGGCCATTGACATTGGATCAGGGCTTTACAAAATCGTCCCACTGAAGTCATGGAGACAGCTCATTGCTTAGGGTCAGTGACTTGTAGCACTAATCTAGTAGTAGTATATCCTCTAAAGCATTTCCTAAGAAGAAAGAGCTGTAGAGACGATTGAAGTTTTTTCTCATTTCCAAGTGGGGTCCATGCTGCGTAAGTGCAACAAAGGGCTTTTTGGCCTTTGGGGTGACAGGAAACATCTCAGATGACCAGGTGTCTATCCCTGTCCTCAGCAGTCCCAGGTTCCCTCTCAGCAGGCAGCGCTAACGACATCCAGCTGCCTCAGATGCACAACTGTGTGCTGTCCCATATACATCATCTTCTGTTTGAATATTGACATGGCCAGCATGCCAGCTGCCAGAGCCTCCCCTTCAGGCAAATTAAACACATTTCTAGTTTTCTTAATCTTGAATTTCAGTTCCACAAATTGCCACACAATTTGTCTTGCCCTTCTAAGTAAGCTTGTCCTGCTTTCCAGAAAATACTCAGCCAGATGAAACTCTGGGCAGGCTGAAATACCAAATCCTTTCTAAGTCCTTCTCTTCGGAAGGAATGAAAAAATCAGAATGTGTATTTAAAAAGAATGGGGTAAAAATCATGACAGCCTGTCGTGGTTTAACCCGGCAGGCAGCCAAACACCACACAGTCGCTCGCTCGCTTGCTCCCCCCCACAGTGGGACAGGGAGAGAACCAGAAGGATAAGAGTGAGAAAAACTCATGGGTTGAGGTCAACACCCAGCTCCCAGGCCTGCAATGGGAACCACACCTCGGGAATGCGTCTGGAAGTAAATGCACCAGCACAGGAGGAAAAGCAAAAAGCGATGCTATGGGATTCGCCTATACTTTTAGGAGGCTGAATGATGTGGCTGCTGGTTTGCTTGAACTTTGTTTTTTTAAATTGCAGTTCAAAGACATGTAGTTATCACCCTCTGCAATCAAGCTGTGTCACAGAGAGTAACCGATCATAAACCCCACTTGAGAAGAAGTGACTGCAGGGAGTGCAGAGCGCACTAGTGGAGCTGCGCCGCTGGGGCACGGCTCTGGGTGCACCGTGGCACCGAGGGACGCAGGGAAACCTGGTACCTGGGGTGCAGTGCTCAGAGCAGGTGGGTACTTCACGCTCTTACTCTGTCCTCTCTAATGGGCTTTGCAGCTTCTGTATCATCTCTATCTACTGCCACCGCATCCAAACCCAGGTAGATGATTTACTGCTGGCACAAGCTTGGTTATTCTGTACTTTGATCGTTACAGCGACAGTCATCCCAAGGACTCGTGAAGCTCCACCTAAAGTACAGAGCCTACAGTGTTCTTCTGCAAACACATTCACGGTGCATTTCCAAACAAACGAAGAGAGCACTGTGCATCTGTCGTGGGCTGTGCATGCCCCCTGTCTATTGGGATGGATCTGCACACAGCTTTGCCCAGTACTTCCAGCTGGTGTGCTGTGTTTTGTGACCCAGATCATTCCTCCTGCTCTCAGAGGCACGTGGGACGCGGGAGACGTTCTGCTACAGAGGAGGGCTGCCTGGCACTGGAAATGAAGCACAAAGGCTGTTCGATGTGGTGCCCAAAAGGGATGGGATCAGACAGCAACTACCACTAATACGCTGTGTGCTGAGGTACAGTGCTGTACTTCAGCGGGCAAGCGAAGGAGCGGGTTACTCGGTCACGTGCCAGGATGACTCAGCCAAACAGGAGGAGAAAAAAGGTTGATATATTTTTCAGCTCTCCATAGAGGCTTTGCCAGTACCTCTCACAGGAATACAACACGCTATTTCTGCCATCTGCTGAGCACTCCTACGCCTGCTGGCTGGCAAAGCGTTCCTGCACGCTTAACGGGGACCAGAGGTTCGTTTAGAAGCAGCTCTGCAGAGAGGTTAACGAGGGGATCGCAGAGGGGGATTCCTGGGGGCTGCTCCCAGGTCTCCCGCCAGTTTGCAAGAGCATCTCTGGGAAATTGCAAACTCGTGCGTCTTCTACGTAAGACACGGGGGTACGAGGCAGCCTGAGTGAAAGACAATATAAGTGAGCAACCTCTTTCCTGAACAAAGCTGTTTCTTACTTGATTTTCTGTGGGCGTGTTCATGAAGCCGGCTAGCTTCTGTCTGCATCGACACTGAAATTCCCGGCAGCTTCTGCATCGCGGTGGGTTCGACGCCGCCTGGCGTTTCCATTTGCCTTAATTTAAGACACAAACCCACCTATTAGTCATACACAATGACTTCAAAGCAGTTGCCCTTGACGATTTTGCTAATGAAGGAGGCTTTTCCAAATGTATTTAATTAAAAATCCGAACACTTCAGATACAGTAAGTGGGGCTTGGCGGCAGTTGCGCAGCCGAGGCTGACGGTGCCTGCTGCATCCCGTCCAAC